TTTTTCAAAAGATATTTATAAAACTTGGTATAAAAGGTAGAAGAGACCCGTGTTAGAAAAAAAATCACCTTGATTCAACTTACATTTTGAAAATGGCGGCCATTGTATCTTTTCAAACTTTATCTACACAAAAACGGATGGTTTTATGAGAAAATGTCAAGAACAAGTTTATTTGGCATTTTTAATTCCCTACGAAACGGGACCTTGTTCAAAAATATCAAATAAGAAATGGCTTAAATATTACGAATTTTAGTTTTAAAATTGGGTAGATTAAGGCTAATCTAGTCAGTTTTGTCGTATTTTACAACTAAAAATCTTAATATCTCATTTGTTTCTGATATTTTTAAACTTGATTGGAAATAAAAATTGCTAAATTAAAGTGTTTTTGAATTTTTTCATGAAATCAGTAGTTTTTGAGTTAGAAAAATTTAAATAGCCGCCATTTTTAAGTTTAAAGTTGAATCAAGATGATTTTTTTTACTATGGGTCTTATTTACTTAAACATACAGATCCAATTTTCATAAGGATTGTTTGAAAATTTTCAAAGATATAAATGCTTATGTAAAAAATAACAAAATGGTTGATATCTGGTTAACAAAGCGATTTTGGACCAAATCATTCTCTTGATTTTCTCTTTTTTTACCCAAGGAATCACTATGTAAATTATGTCTACACATTTTCCAAACACACTGTATATCTAAAGGTTATTTTTACTAAGAAAAATGAAATTTATTTTCAAAAGTAAACCATCTCAAAGAACCAAAAACTAAGCACAACATATTTTATCAAATTAAGTGTAACGGTTGAATTATGTTTCTAGAATTGTTGATGAATGTGTGACTGATTTAAACAACATTTATAAAGAATTAATACCTATTTCTCTTTCGCGTCTTCTTGCTGTTGCAAAGCACAGGTGCAGCAGCTAAGATTCCAAATCTGAAAATTACCTATTTGAAATATCATAATTCAACCCAATTAGTTTAGGCTTTAAAAACTTCGATTAGATTAAATGTTGTTAAAAGGCTTTACGAAGTTTTGAGTTACAGAAAGTTAGAGGTAAAGGTAATAAGGGTTTTAAAAAATATTTAGAATTCAAATGCTTAGTGTTGTTTTTGTTAAATACATAACTGCTTCAAAACTTCTCTGTAACACCTACTTTGTAAACCCCATAACGCAAAGAAAAAAACAAAACACTAGCATCTGACGTATTCAAATTTATTTCTCATTACTACGCTTCCTACAAGACAAACAAATGTATTAAATAATAGCTTTTAATATATTTAAATCGTTCAAAGCTTTTGCTGAAACGGTTCTGATTTATAGCAGTATATGGTTTGGTCAAAACTATGTTATCTCTTTTTTCTGTTCCAGCGTTTTAGCATAAATGTAAACCAAATTCTTTTAAAGTGGTAGCGATCCAATTTTTCAAACGTTTAAGGACTAACATCCTACTTTTTGCTCCATCGCCAAAGACCGAGACTGTAGCCTCTATACCAGCTCTTTTAAAACATACACGAATCGTCTAGGAATAGTCTATACCGTATTACTACTAACACTTTTGATTGGTATATTACTCATGTCATTAAAAACAAAATAATCTTACCAGGCACTGTAATTGTAGTAGAACAATGAGGTAATGTTAAAGTTTAATACAGATTTTTTACAAATTACACGTGTAATACCACCCCTACGTACACTTGAAACTACTGTTCTTATTTTTTCAAGTGGAATACTGAAGGAAACCTTGAAAGGCCCAAAGTTTCGTCAATATTTAACGCTCAATTAGTTTGAAAATCTGGAGCAAAAAGCCAAGTAGTTCGTATTTCTGTCAAGTTAAGCTGATTTGGCTCAGCTTTCTGTTCAGGAATTAGAAGATAAAACGTGCAGCTTTGTAAAGAGGCTATACATAATTAATTGTTCTAACAAGTGGGGGACGGTGAAATTTAACACTTAATCATAAGCATATAGTTATTTAATGTAGTAACGGGGGCAAACTAGCTTTTTAAAGTAAATATATTTTGTTTTGCCTGTCAACTATTTATACATATTTTACTCGATGGTTACATTTCATAAAGATCAAATCTAACTTAAACTACAAGATAGGCTCATTATTATCTGAAGACGAGCTATTTGTAACAAACACAAGATTAATGTTTTGGATCATCTGCTTAATTGGAAATATTGTTGACGCAATTTGTTGAATCTTTTGAAGAATTTTAGTTTTAAACTAACTTTTGAAAATATTCTAAGCATATTTATTTAATTATGAAAGCATATATTTGATAAATGTTTGTTATTATATGTTAAAAGATTACGTTATCCGTTACGCAATAGGGAAACAATAGCACAAACGATTGTACTAAAATGTAACTTTAATAACATTTTAATAAATACACTGTACATAACCATATTCCACCACCTATCTATAAGTTAAACTGTTTACAAAGACTAAAGTCAGCTGTAATAAAATCAGCTGACTACAATAATATTAATTACAATTAATGACATCTGTAAACCATTTTATTGCTCAGTAACCAAAGAAATAAAATGTATAATAAAATACATTTTACAGTTTTACAAGTATCAGCAAATTTAAAATTATCGCATTTTTGGTGTAGTTTATAATTACAGTCAGTTGTCTGTTAATTTTTTATTGATGTTTAACACACAACTACAATCAGCCTTGATTCTTGGACCCCCATCACTAATCACCTAAAATAAACAACACAAAGTTAAAAAGTCATCAAGTTTTCTCGCAGGTAACAAATATAGTTGAATAATTTGTCAAATAAAGAAGCGTGTTAACAGGGCATAAACAAATTCTCTAAGTAACCTGTTTAACATATGTTAAATGTATTGTGAATGATTTGTAAATACCAAAATACCCCAAACAATATAGTAGGGCGATCCCCTATAAAAATTTGAGAGTACTAAGAATTTGTATGGCTAGGAATGTGCATAACTAAGAATTTTAAGAGTACTAAACAATTAAATCTTAAGTGTAGGGGCCATTGGAAACACTTAAAACATTCTTGGAAAAATATCTGTTATAACAACCTTTTAGTCTTGAATGGGGATAGCATGAAGACGGTATCTCATTTGAGGGATTCTTGTAATATTAGTTCCAAAACGTCGATTTATTGTTGCAGTATTGACTTCTCTTAATTTTCTTATCAACATCTTAATTAATTAAGAAAAGCTTATGTTTTTGATTCCTAATGATGTTTTCTTTCTTTTTATCTTTTAATACATATTTGATCAGCTAGGTGAATTATCTCAGGATCACCTGGTATTCTTTTGACTATTTGAAGTTTTTAAGTCATCCTCATCTATTGACAATGAGGATAGTGAACTTTTGATACTTCCACCTCCCTCAAAAGTGTAAATGTGAACTTCATCTTTGCAGGGAGAGAACATGGTTAACTCTTCTTCACGATTTGGCCGACTTTTTCTCGTCAGATCTATAAACGAAGTCTCTGAAACTGGTAAAATACATTTTTAATTTGGATTATTTATGACATATATTTATAATGCATCATGATGCCAAACCTGTGTTTTACAGCGTAATAACTACTATTCGTTGGATTGTATTTGTACTTAAACAAAAATAGTAATTTATAAATATAATAAAAATAGTTGACAAAGTTGAATTTTTATGACAAGTATCAAATAGTTAATTCAACCAAACTATAGCAGGTTTATAATTAAAACATATTTTTTAGTGATAAAAATAATGCATTAGCTCAAATTTAATATAAATGCAAAGGCTCTGACTTTGCCAGTTGTTGTATTAAAATCACAATTTTACATGTAGAAAATATTGCTATCACCAAAACAATTCTTTGTGGTTTTAACAAAACACAGAAGTAATTTTAGATCGTCAAGTCACCCGTAATTTTGATATCACACCCAATTTTAGTGCCTAGAGGAAATGGAACTGGCATTGATTGCGGAGCAAATAACATGTAAACAAGTCGTTTGAGCAAATGTGTTCAGAACAACAATAATATATTGATATTACATTTTTAAGATTCCTCGTACGGGTTAGTTCTTTTCCAACGTTTTTTTTTATCATCTCGTCTTAAATACTTTTGTAAGCTCTGAAAATAAAACTATTGTTCAATATAGATTAACTTTTTTTATCAGAATATACATGATTATTTTCGGTTTGGTTGATAGGTTACCTGTATCCTCCACCAGAGTATGACAGGACACGTCACCACCTGCAGACATTGTCAGTGTCATGGCCGTCATGTCGTCTGCTCCTCCGCCCTCGTCGTTGTATTTTATAATGTTCTCTCTGACGTCACACTCAATATCCTTCTTGTCTCCGTGTACTCTACGTCTGTTGTACACCACAAGCATCAGAAGAACGACTGTAACATAAGTACATGGTCCTTAAATAACTCATAAATCGTAAAATGACGCGAAAGTACGAGGTAAAAACAAATAAGTTATTCTTAAATAAGGCACAAATTCAAAAGTTTGAACCTACGTTAGAGCAATAAACCAGTTGTACTTTTGACTAAAAAATAACATTTTGAGGTCAAAGTGCTACTTGAAATACCCCATGGCTTACAAGTGATCCTATCAGTTTGACATAATTAAAAAAGTTGTATTAGATAGATATATGAAATTTTATAAGAAAACTCTGCCAGTGGCTCAGTTCAACTAATGTACTTTAATTGTAACCAAAAACTGGATACATATTTAACATGGGAATGAACCCTCTAGTTTTTCAATAGTCAATGACTAGACGTTACCATTGCTATCAGATGTCATCAGTCCAGTCACACACACAGTAGTGGTCTGTTGTCTATCTAATGCATTATGACCTACCTAGCAGCAGCACCAGTATACAGCTCAGTACGGTAGCAAAGGCTCCTATTCCCAGCCTGAGAGTGTGTCTGTCCTGGGCCAGCTCACACTGGTCTCCCCAGTAGTTGTATGGACACACACATTGGTATTGTTGTCATTTCTAACCTACTACATGGTTCATACTATGACCTACCTAACAGCAGCACCAGTATACAGCTCAGTACGGTAGCAAAGGCTCCTATTCCCAGCCTGAGAGCGTGTCTGTCCTGGGCCAGCTCACACTGGTCTCCCCAGTAGTTGTCTGGACACACACAGCGGTACTGTTGTCTGTTGTATACTGTACCTACTACATGGTATACCTACTACACACTACGACCTACCTAACAGCAGCACCAGTATATAGGTCAGTACGGTGGCGAAGGCTCCTATTCCCAGCCTGAGAGCGTGTCTGTCCTGGTCCAGCTCACACTGGTCTCCCCAGTAGTTGTCTGGGCACACACATTGGTACTGTTGTCCTATGTAACCTACTACATGGTTCACACTACGACTTACCTAACAGTAGCACCAGTATACAGCTCAGTACGGTGGCGAAGGCTCCTATTCCCAGCCTGAGAGTGTGTCTGTCCTGGGTCAGCTCACACTGGTCTCCCCAGTAGTTGTCTGGACGCACACATTGGTACTGTTGTCCTATGTAACCTACTACATGGCTCATACTATTACTTACCTAACAGCACCACCAGTATACAGCTCAGTACGGTAGCGAATGCTCCTATTCCCAGCCTGAGAGTGTGTCTGTCCTGGGCCAGCTCACACTGGTCTCCCCAGTAGTTGTCTGGGCACACACAGCGGAATTGTTGTCTGTTGTCTACCTCCTGACAGACTCCACCGTTCATACAGGGTTTCACCCAGCAGTCGTTGCTTGGGACGCAAAGTTTACCGTCGGGCGTGAGCACATTGCCTTCTCCACAACTGAAACGGTAAATCACCTGAAGTTAAACTTGGTTCATACTTGGTTATACTATAGGAAATAATTGAATATTATAACACTGTTACTTCGAAGACCGATTAGGAGACAGTTGCATATTTTTTTAATTGGTTTGCTAACGGTGTCTGTGACCTGACATTAGAGGACAGGTTGTGAAAGGTAAAGTATTCTACTGATTCTACAGTTTTTTTTCATTTTTTATATTGGACAAAATACCAAATAAATTCTTCATAAATATGAATTTTAACTCACAAGCAGCGGTTAGTGTTCCAGGGGTCGTTGGGGGTGCAGTGGGCGGCCCCGCGGCACATCGCCGTGGAGCACAGCTTGTCCGTGGGGCAGCCCAGGGCGGTGTTCTGGGCGACCAGGGCGGCCGCCCACACCGTGCTGTTAGACACGGGCGGCAGCGGCAGTGGGCGACCGTTCAGCCGCACGTCGTCAATACAACCTGGAGTTAAACAACACTCAATCAGTGTAACTATCTAGCTTGAAAGAACACATAGTATATAGGTGATGCAGCATGGTTAATTAAATTTGTCGTTACCAAAATAATGGTGAAAAATTAGCTGCTAAACCTTTGTGTAGTGTAAGAAAAAATAAATGCACTTTATTAAACTTTTTTTTAGTCCCTCCATATTCAAAGTTAATTAATAAATTAATAATGTATGGTTTACAAATAGGTTTGTATTATTAATGTTTCTAAAACTATGAACCATGGATACGTTGCTCACTTGAATAGATTGAATGTGTTTTATGAAGTGTAAATAGAAAGGAACATACACGTTCTCATTATTAATCTACGAAAGAAAAGAATCAATAAAAGGTGCACGGGGAATCATTAGAGTTTAAGCGCTACAGAAACCAACCCGGCAATTGGCAATTCAGTCTATTGTAGGTTTTGTTCTCTTTGTCCTCAGAAATGTATTCTTAAATTCTTTATAAACAATAGAGGAACGTATAGAGCATTTGAATAAAGAACAGTAAAACCTTACTCCAAAGAATTCAATTCAATCCTATCTCTTGAATATCAAAACATCCCTAAAAAGTTTTTCTTTTATTCGTGAATATGTTTTTAAGGATATTAAATTTCATAGCGATTTTAGTTTCACAAAATGATCTGTCATTCGTATATTTCGCTCAATACTAGACATGTGAAAAATAAGAATACATAGTTTGGTTCTGAGACACAATTAATTCAAAGACAACCACAATGATCCGAGGGGTTTAAATGGGTAATTTAACTTTACTGTATCATTGCATTATTCCAATGTAAAACCATCTGGGTACGCATACTTTAAAATCACATTGTCCTAAATTATAACATACTTTTAGTAGTTGTATTAAAACTATAAAACGATCGATATACACATTTACAAGAGGAACCAACATAAGTAAATTTTGCTTGAGCTTAAAAAACTAATTCCTTTTTTCTTTCTAATTTCTTATTTGAACTCATTATTTACCATATTAATTGAAAAGATATATATTATATTTTAATTAAATATTAGATTAACCACTTAGTTTTCATCTTTAGACCAGGAGCAAGTGAGTTAACTTTGCCAACAATATTTTCAATCCAATATAAAAAAATAAGGCTACGTTTTTTTAGTTCGCATTTCGCTAATGACTCCCTTTATTAGAGATATTAACATATTGTATTTTCATTCCCATATAACTGTAGTATACACTTAGAGAAAATAGCTTCTTGTTAGATGTACTTAGTAGCTGTATTAGCAGTAACAGTTGTAGCTTCTTAGTAGTTTAGGAAGCGAGTTGGTCTAGTGGTAGAACTCGGGACTTCGAAGCCCGAGGTCTCGGGTTCAAACCCCGCCAATTACCATTGCATTTTATTCATGTTATGATGCTGCGACTCTTTAGGCCTAGCCTAAAGTAATATGTAAAACAGTTTCAGGCTAGAACCTAGCGTCTTAGGATGTGAAGGTGGTGCTTAAAAACATTAGTTGTACTCAAACCTATTACACTCGCTACTTGCCTTCCTGGTAGTCGTGCTCCACAGCGATGATCCCTATCTCCGTATACTCAGGTCTGCCTCCAAGGTACACGCCCTCCTCAGTATCCACCACCAGCTGTAGTCGAGAGTCCCAGTCTGTCGTTCTGTTACCCCTCCTCCCTTCTCCACCGTCTAGCTCCAAGCTGACTGATGCTCCCACTCGAATAACCTGGGCCACACTTCACGCACTTTATTAATTGAATTTGTCTAGCTATATTTAGACAAAAATTAGTAATTAGTGCCTGGATTTTCAAGGTTGAATGACCTTTTATTTGGGGGTTGAGGAGAATACATTTTAAAAGTGAAAACCTAAGTTACGATTTGTCTTGAGCTTTAAAATATAAAAATTTTTGGTTGATCATCATATTTTTATTTGCTCCATGTTCTGATGCAATGTGACATTATGAATTGTATGTGTTAACTCTGCTTCCAATCATATTAAAACACAGTGTTGCTTATGAAGCGTCTTAGTGTTCTGAGGTATCAGACTATTATTAGCTTTTTCAAACTATTTGTAGCTTATAGTTTTGCTTCGGTAGGACTTCAAAGTATAGATTTTGATATCTGTTTATTGTTTCACTCTCCTTCTTGTTTGTTTTTATTTTGATTCTCTGTGATTTTTTTTGCAAATGCATTCTTACGTATGCATTTTCAAGACTACTTCTTGTGGGCCCTAATGTTTGTTAGTGCGATACAAATTAAAATCTGCAAATTTTTATGGATATTATCGAAATTTCTAAGCTTAAAATAAAAATATTTTTTCCTGCTTGGTTCTAAAATATTTCTCAAAACGCAAAGGTTGTTCTTCATAAGGTTTTTAAGACAATTACTGTATATAAACAATTTAATCTCAATATAGCAAGTAAACAAATGAAAACTGTATTATTAATTTCAATTTTTATATAATATTCTTTAGTATCTATACGAGTAGTATCTATAGTTAAGTAAACCTATTTATTTAACTGGTTTAATACAAAAAACCTCCATTCCTGTAAAAATCAATATTGAAAACATTGAAATGGGATGGTTACCTTCACGTTGTGCCATTGGCCGTCGTTTATCCTCAGAGCTGAGATCCTTAGGTCGGCTTTAGAAGAGTCACTCAGCTTGTAGCGAAATTTTAGCCGGCTTTCGACGATCTAAAAGAAGAAGAAGCATTTTATAAACGAGATATTCATAGATTTAAAATAATATGTTAATGCTAGTTTTTAATCAAATGTGTTCTACAGTGTGTCCATAAAAAACGTTTCAGGACTTTAGGAAATGAATCCCCATACTAAAAGGAAGAAAAAAGGTTATGGGAAGGTATGTCCGAAAATGCATATTAACCCAGATATCCGCCATTTTGTTTTTTATACAAAAATATTTTATATGTGAAGTTTTTTATTCGACGATTATGAAATTTGGTATACATGTTAATATACACAAGACCTGTCATAGAAAAAATAATAAAGTTGTTCCGATTGTAAATTTCAAAATGGCGGCCGTTTGAATTTTTCTAACTTAAATAACTCAAAAACGGCTAATTCTATGAAATATTGTTATGAATACTTTTTTTTGCATTTTTAATTTTCTATCAAACGATACCAAGATCAAAAAGATCGGAAAAAAGATAACTGAAATATAACGTTTTTGTGTAAAAATAAGGCAAAAATTAAGGGTTCCCCGACTAACTTTGCCTTATTTTTACACAAAAAACGTTATATTTCTGTTATCTTTTGTTCGATCTTTTTGATCTTGAAATCGTTTGATAGGAAATTAAAAATGCTAAAAAAAAGTATTCTTGACATTTTTTCATAAAATTAGCCGTTTTTGAGTTATTTAAGTTCGAAAAATTCAAACGGCCGCCATTTTGAAATTTACAATCGGAACAACTTTATTATTTTTTATATTATAGGTCTTGTGTATATTAACATGTATACCAAATTTCATAATCGTCGAATAAAAAACTTCACAGATAAAAATATTTTTGTATAAAAAACAAAATGGCGGATATCTGGGTTAATTTGCATTTTCGGACATACCTTTCCATAAACATTTTTCTTCCTTTTAGTATGGGGATTCATTTCCCAAAGTCCTGAAACGTTTTTTATGGACACCATGTATATAAAATGCATAAAAGTGAAAAAAATAATAAGATATGTAAGGAAAGTATAGAAGAAACCCCAGTTCTGCTAAATGGTGGTAAAATTATTTCAAAATGTTTTGAGAAAAATACTGAACGCTATGCCCACCTCTAACACCGCATATTGGTCAGCTCGCTGGTCCCCCAGACGGAACAACTCTCCAGACTCCTCTCTGGTGCGGAACCTGAGCTGGACCTCCGTCACATGGAGGTCAGGTTCGTAGTTAAGGGAGTACTTGATGTAGCTGTGGGGCTCTAGAGTGACAGGCTGGGTGGGGGTGGTGCAGTGGGGGCCTTGGTAGCCGGGAGAGCAGCTGCAGCGGGGCTCTCTTGCACTGCCCCCACAATCTCCGTGGACTTCACACTCGGGAGAACAGAGACCGGGACAGCCAGCCTCGCTACCCTGGGTCAGTCCGCTGCCCGCCAAATCGTACAGCTGAAACCGACAAACTGCAAATCATATATGTTTTCTTTATGAGAAATCAAATGAAAAATAATACATGTATGTAAATAAAAGTATTTTTTTCCATTCAGTGCCGAATACTTGGTGTTTAACAATAATAGTAAATAACTAAACAGTTGGGTAATTTGCAAACCTTGATTGAATCCGCTGTAAGTAATAAAAATTGAAATTTGTAAGATTGTTTTGATAGCATTTTTTAGTCCCTGTAACTGAATTAGTTTGGACTAGAGTCACTGTAAATGTTTTTGGGTATTTCCTTATCCAACGTATTATGTAAAACGAAAAAAAATTGATGAGACCCTTTTTGTCGTATCTGCAAACTTTGTGGAGGGAAGTCTCACTAAACAGTCACAACTGCTCCAGTTTTAGTAATATATGATACCCAACACACCATTTTAAGTTGCTAATAAACAAATCTGTCATGGATAATCAAATACCTAAGACTAAACATAACCGTATCAACAATAAACTTGTGAACATTTTCATTCCATTCTTCATTTGTGTTGTTCAAAGAATACAGACAATACACTAGTGTAGTTTTGCCCTATTCTTTTTCAAACATCCTATATATACGTACATATTTTTTCCTACAGTCACCCGACAAAGTTGGCTTCCTTGTACTGTTTATAGTACAGAAAGCTACTAATTGCAGCATATTTATACTTTGTCGTACGGTTTATACTTTTTCGTACGTATTATACTTTGGCGCACATCAGGATTCTAACGAAACAACACAAAACAGCGTGGTTCTATTATGCACGTAATCCGTGTACGCTTGGAAATAGGTTGGCAACACTTAAAGATAATAATACTATGAGCAGCTGATTGACTATTATAACTACGATTTAACCTGTCATTTCGTGTTTATAGTTTCGGTATTTCTGAACTTTCTGGACTTTTCTTTTTAACGTTTTTAAAACATTCCTACGATCTTAATAAACAAGAAAATACTTTTAAAGCATTTTTTAAGGCGCGGAAACCACTTCATTAAAAAAAACCATATGGAACTATTTTCTCAAAACGCGGAGCACATTTCTTGCCGAGGAAAAATAGCAGAGTGATACGGACCGGGGACTACTTTCTCCATGGCACCTATTTGTGTTGCCAGCTGAACCTAAAAACGTGTTGTATAGTGTTCGAAAGACTTGTTATTTATATGCTTTATAGTGACTGCAGGGAAAATATAATGTGTAACACGAGTGCAAAAGGCCTATGCTGCACTCGAGATCATTCCGCAAATTCCGTAAACATTGCTCTCGTGTGCAGCAAAGTGCCACTTCGCCCACTAGTTACAAAAATAACTATTCTTCTTGAACAAATTTCAAATAGGGAAAGGTGTTTTACTTAGCTTCATCAATAGGTTTAGCTAAAAAAGTTGACAGCTTATATGGACTCAAAAAACGATAAAAATCAACTGACGGAAAGGTAAATAAGTCTTACCTTACTATTACACATGAGGTTTCTGATGCAGCCATCAAAACCTTTTCCATAAGGCACATGGTTCCAGCGGTATGACGAAGATGTCAGTGCGTCAGCGATGTGGCGTCCTCCAAGCTGCAGAGGCGTCTGGAGGTTCAGCAACTCACTGAAGGGAGGCATCGCACCCTTTACACGACAACTGCTGGCCTCCCTTAGACCTGCCACCCCTAGACATCGGTCCACCACCAGCTCTACCGTCTACAAAATATGCGAAATATTCAACATTAGCAACACAAGTACTTCAATACAAAAGTAGTTGAAATATTTTAACTTTAACTTTGAGATTGTGGTTGTAAGTGATAGACATTGTTATAGAATTTAAGTCTCTTAGAAAACGTTCCTTGCTTTTACTAAATGTTTTGGATTGTTAAAAGCGCTTTAATTATTATTTAGGGCGAGATTAGGTGGATAGCTCCTAGGCACGAGCCTAGGATTGTTTTTCACATTACTTCAGGCTAGACCTAGGAGTTGCGGCATTATCACTCATTGGTGATTTGGCGGGATTTGAATCCGGGACCTCTTGGACCGGAGTCCCGCGCTATAACCACTATAGACCAGCTCGCTCCCTAGATGGCTAGCCTTTGGAAGGTTGGCAATGAGCACAATTTTAATTCATCAATAGAAGACTATTATGGTTCAAATTCCTCTATACGCTTTAGGTCCCTTAGTTGTCATTGGATATCCGGGCCTATTAATTAATAGTCCTGTCAAAAGAACAGGTCGGCCTTACGAAATCGCGTCACTCTTCCAACACTCATTTCCATTCATACTTGGGTTAAAACAACTACATTCATATGGTCACTATTTTATTTAAAAGTATTGAAGTAGTAAAACTATATACCAAATAACACAAAAACTAATACATGTCACATACTTTAACATGGAACTAATTACATTTACCATATAATTTCCCTTTATTTATCTTTTTTATTTGAAAAGTGGACTATGACTAAACGTTACTTAAATAAAATTAAAAAAACTATGACTTTAGTCTGTGCTATAACTAAGACATAAATATAAAGAGAAGTTGATTGGATAGGTCTTTTTTACCCGTAACATCTTCCTTCACCGCACATTACATTGTATAGAATGAGCATTTCCATAATTGTTTACCTTTACAATGGAATTTCCCTGCGGTGATCCCGCTTGCGACTGAGTGGATGTTTTATTTACAACCTCCAATCGTTCAGACCCAGTTCTGCTAATATTGTTTCAATATGAGTAGACTTATAAACCTCTTGAATCGTATCTTTCAAGTCTAATTTAATTGCTAAGTTAGAATAGTTGTTTCCCAATTACATTTAGGATTACTGTGTTTTTTAATTATAATTTTCTTAAAAAATGAAACTAAACAATAATCCAAAAATAACAATCATTAATAAAGAAACTGTTAAGCAATAAAACGCAGTAAAGTCACTTTTAATGAATCGTAAGCTAAACGACAAAAATTAGGTTTTATCAAAGTAAACTCTGCAATGTATCTGTATATTCTAAATTTGAATGATAAAACTTAAAAAAACAATTAGGAATTGACCTATAACATTTTCTAAATAATATTCTATCTACATCGTGTGATCTCATATAAAATTATATGAAGCAATTTGATGTATCTTTGAAATAGGATTCTACAGTCAATTCCTATAGAAGCCGCGCATGAAGCAGGCGAGAAACTAGTGTTTAAAGTTATGGAAGCGAAACTGCAGTCCACTCTCAAGGAACTATTACTGGAGTGTAGGTGTTAGGGTCTTGAGAATGAACTGCCGCATAGAGACAGGAAAATAGTCAAATATCACCACATCGTTTTATCTACGCGACCGTAACCAAAAGAACATGACTCACAGAACTAGAAACATATAACTTTTTCATAGAACTTTTTGAGTTTTATGATCTTTGAATATAAAACTAATGTGTAGGCCTATCTTAGTAGAATTATTTAGTTTCTTTAGATGGAGTATTTTTAAAATAAAAACCCCTGTAAAATTATACAGTTTTAAATCTCATTATCTGGTTGGACATTGTCTAGAGAAAAATGCTCCATTATCATTTATGTTTCCATTTTTCAGGGTAAAGTATGAGTTTTGGTTAATTCTATCCATTTGATCTTTATTAAGATTTCTCATCTAGTCCCGCTACCAACCTCTGTCGTCCATCGAACGTCCAGTCGATGCCAGGTGGTGTCGTTCAGTCTTGTTTCTGTAGTCAGGTTGAGCTCTATAGTCCCTGAACCGTAGTCCATCAGCAACCGGGGATACCCGTCTACCAACTCCACTGATAGGAAATCTGTAGAAAAAATTACATGATAATTGTATGTATCAAGTGGGGACACTTCATAAAAAAAACATCATCATAGACAAATGTTTCCAGTTTAGACCCATAAACCAGTTTTTGTGGAATTGCAACATTGAACGATTAACATTTTCTTCAATGTATTGTTTGAATAATGTTTAATTACATTAAATTAACATGATAAGTTTTGCATTTTGTTTATGTTATTGGCTGTAAGGTTTCAATTACTTAATTCCGAAACTATTCTTGGCCATAAAAGATATACATTACAGTTTCATTCAATGAAGTTAAATTCTAGTTTGGTAATAACACCATATTTCCAGAGTCGTCTCTTTTTAACCTTTTCCTCTCAAAATTAATTCAAGTATAATGTATGTGTAGCATATATTCCCGGTAAATCGAACGATAAATATTGATCAACCGTTGAGCCCCAATGAGTTGAAAAATAAGTAACGAGACCTTTAGGGAAGACTAATTTAGATTAGTTATACCAAAATGTGAATCTATGGATGATAAATATTAATAAGTAAAAACCACACATTATAAGAGTACCTGAGTTCGTTACTCCTCCAGGCTTAGGAGGCCCTACTGGACCGTTGTAGATCAACTGACCATCTGCCTTTCTAGCCAAGAATTCAAAGGAGAGGTGGGAGTTTTCACATACACTCAAGGGAGGATACCAAGCCCAGCCTGCACCGTGGAATGTGCGCGAGGTCTTCTGACATCTGGGTCCTTTGAAACCGCTAGGACACGAACAACTGTAATAAAATAACAAAATTAGTATCAATATGTAAGTATATAATATTTTTATAAAAATAATGCATTCTTTGAGTACTGACTATTTTATAGGAGAGATGGAAATTCCTTAGGATCCTTTATTGGGTCTGCAGAATTAAGGTATGTAGTATCTTCACTAAAATAGATAGAATTCTTTCTCATGAACTATCTGGTGACTTTGGTATTCTACCAAGATGAAAGCTCTTGTTCTCCTTCTATGCTTTGTTGGGGGTTAAGGAAACCAGCTAGAAAATTTATTTCTAATTTGTACCTGATTCCATATCGGCCTTCTATACAGCGACCACCGTTGAAACATGGACGAGATCTGCACGTCTCTGGGCGACTATAGTCCAATGCTCCACAGAGGCACTCGGCCACCGCTACAACTCTCACCCCAGCCAGCACTGTGGTGTTGGCGTTGACTAAAGATGATCCTCCCACCTCCAGTCGTGAAGTGCAACTACCCTCGCAATGACGCCGCTCATCAACACACTCGTCCACTCCCACCATAGTGATGTTCAGCTTCACTGCTTCTTCTATCTGTATATGGGGTGAGAATGAAATTAGACGGATTTTTAGGTTTTACAATGGAAATGTAATTCAGTAGATAGCAATTACCTAATTATATTTGGTTCGTAGACGATTTGAGTGGGAAAAAAAGGAAAAACAACCCTTCAGTAAAGGTTGGAATTCACTGCAGGACTAACTAGGGAGGAATATCATAACTAGAATTATTCTCTTTATTAAAAGCTGGTAAACATAGTACTTTAGACATACAGATTCATTGTGATGGATATTCTTACGAACATACCGGGGTCCTAAGAAGAGTCACTATTTTTTAATTAATATATTAGACGCACCGAACACTCTACAAACATGAAACTCAACAGTCCTAACATACACATATGTCAAATAAATACCCCTAAGTATCAGTTAATTCAGGCACATTAGGACAAAATGTAAATAAAAAGTACATGGCAGGATAAAAAGTAGGCCTACCCTTAAAATACGATTACTAGTTTTGAAGTTTTTTGTTTTTCCGCCATTTTGTTCGAATCAGTCAAAACTAATTAAGACTCGGGGGCAACACCTTTACATAAGTCACGACTGTATAATTTCAAGTTTGTAGCGCGCTCTATACGTCTGTCATACCAAATTCATTAAAAAAAAAACCTCTTCGTGGGACACCCAGTATATGCAACCTATTTTTTTTATATATATATACAACATTCTTAAGAAAGTTTGGTAATTCTATTGAATTAAAAGAACCAAAGTAATTCTATGTTAGTCCTTAATGGCAAACTGAGGTACAAGCTAAATTATTTCTTTCGTCCCACAAAGTGTAAGAAAATGAATCAAAGTTTAAAACTAACTCATGGAAGTTTACGGCAAACAAAACTAACTTTTGCATTATATTTCAAAATAAAACTCCCGTTAGTCTAAAGGAACGTGAGAGAGCATAAGTTACTAACCAAGTTTGTATGCAGCATAACCATCCCGTCTACCACTTCACGCTTCAAGTTAGTAACGGCGAACCGGACGTCCGTTAGAGGAGGGTGTGCGAGAACTTGCTGAACACTGAAGATAGAGACGTGTTCCTCGTCTACTTTCAAAACTTCCGCTAACTTTGTTTGTAACATAGAGAGCTTGCTTCCACCGTTCCGCTTCTTCTGTTGAAGTAACAACATTGATTACGCCAACACTACTTATCTTGATCAATCAGGACTTTTAACAAGGCACTCTTGACATTTATTACTTTGTTTAAGATTTGATTCATAATACAGATTTTTTTAAATTTCTTATTTGTTTCGTTTTGTATGTTACAAGAAGTAAGTGTATTACTTTCGAGTAGACTGCATAGGTACATTGAAGTTAAATTGAGGTTTTAAAAGTGCTACATATGAATTATTACAAACACTTCTCATATAAATGATCGTTAACGTAATTTGGAACCTAAAATACAATTTATAAGCATTGCTATTTTAATATTTTTTTTATACGTGTGACCTAGTAATACTACGCAAATTAACTTTTATGTCAGACACATCCTATAGTGATAATTCAAAACAAACCAAACTAGTTTATATCCTCCTAATGATTTACAATAACGTAAAAGGTATTTATGGTTGTTATGACTTTTAATCAGTTTTATTCAACAGCAATTGTTTTTAAATTATTCAAAACAACCACCCAACATGTTTGGCCACAAGAAAAATGTGTTATTGCTATATTACTCTAACAAAATTACATAATAACTGTTTAACCCACGTTTAAATAAAATAATTTCTTCAACTTACCACCAGATCCACAGCCGATATACCACTCAATCTCAAAGACCCAGAGTTTGTGATAGAGTTATACGACAAGTCTCTAACTCTGACTCTGACATGGGCCTTTACGTTATTCTGGTTGTGTTTTCTGTCCTGAACTTTAAAGTGTAGGCTGTAAAGACCTCTGTGAGTCCCAGACCTCATTGTCAACTCTCCTGTTTCTTCGTTTAGCTTGAACCGATGACTTTCTTTCAAATCCCATCGAAACTTCTTATCAGGCAGATCCCAGTCGTCAAGGTCTTCTACGTAGACTCTCCCAATTGGAATGTCCATGTTTTGTACCTATTGAACAAAGACACCTTTAGATTAGCTGCCAAAATTACTAAATTGCGGTTTTAATTTCGGTTTAATGTCTTAAATGATTTTCGAAAGATATTGATAATACAGTACTGAAAATGTTACCACATTTTTCTTTTACAATAAAGTGTTACTAGGGTAGCTTACCCTGTACACGTATGCCTGCACCTCCATGGAGCCTGGATACATCGGGTTATCGTTGATATCCCCCACTATCACAGTCAGAGTGTTGGTGCTGCTTTTTACGGGTTGTCCAGAGTCGCAAATCACAATTGGAACAAAATATTGCTTCTGCTTCTCTCTGTCAAATGTAACTAACGACACGACTTTGGCCATATCTTCATATCCTGTAGATTATACTAGGGTTAAACACAATCACTAATGTATTTGTAACTTATTATAGGGTTTAAAATGAAGAAATGTATTAATTATTAGTCATCCAAAACCACTATGAACTACTCATATTCCTCAATCACCTAGTTTGTATTCACTACAGGACGGACCATAAACAGTAGGTAATATTAAATAAAAGGTAACACAAAATAAGATTATTAAAAATTAAATACTGTTGTTCACAGTTATATAACTTTACAGTTTTACATTAAACACAAAAATATAAACTAGGGATAGTACCAATATTTTGTTTCCAGAAATGAATAATTGTTTTAGTAATTATAAATCGGCTAAAAAACTTTTGTGTTAACATGTTTTTCATATAAAAAAGCTAGTTCCATTTTCGAAAAAGTTTATTTTAGAAGACCATTGTTTGACTCGAATAAAGCCTTTGATTCTTTGTAGAAGGTAGATAGAAATTACCTTTCTCTTGTACTACTCTGAAGGAAGATTTGATCGTCTCGTTAGCTCGAGGATCCAGAAAGAAAGTGAACGGCGGACCGTTTCCTTTTATTGGATCATCTGGATCGATGGCGAACACCTTGAGTATCTCTCTCGGCTTGTCGTTCTCGGCTACCACGGGTCTGTACTCCTCCATGAATCTTGGAGCGTTGTCGTTGACATCCTCCACTAACACAGTGACTGTGACGGACCCTGTCTGTGGTGGGTAGCCATCGTCCACCGCGAGTACCTTCAACTGCAAATACCGTGTTGCATTTATATAAAATATGTTTTTCTAAGTGCAACATTTAATTCATATTTTATTCATACTCTAAACATTGTAAATTTATTGGACGTAACTGGAACTTGCAACGTCTAGTCTACCGGGAAATGATTGATATAATATTTTTTAAACATGCACAGTTCTATTGAAGGATTTAGATTCATTTATACCGTAGCCCTATAATGTTTTGCGTTACTTACAATAGTTTTTTGTACAAACAGAATATATATTAGCTGGGAACAAGACACCACTGTCGGTTTCCTTCGGCTGGGAGTGTTCTTAGGTACAGGAAGGGGTGTTTAATAATTGGTAGATTACTCCTTTCAAATGGTAGGTCTGTTACTGAATTTTATGACTAACAGAAATAGTTAGCTAAGTTATTTGACCCTAAACGTATTTTTGTTAACATAAAACAATTCTTCAATCATCAAGTTCACATAATTTTACTAACAAAGGTAGAGTGTTTGATGATAGAACTTGGCCTCTTATATTATTATACAATTATCAATATTTAAAATAAATCTTTGAACTGGCAACACGTTTCTCAGATATTTGTCAAGTACTAACCTGATGAATGGAATTTGTCTCCCTGTCCAACGATCTATGCACGCTTAGCCTCCCATCCTGACTAACGTGAAACTGCCTGTTCCGGTCGGAAGAACGGTCAATGACGAACCGGATGTTGCTTCTTCCACTGTGGTCCACATCCTTAGCCATCAGCTGATCTAGGACAGTTCCTGTGGGGATATCCTCGTACACGGTCAATGTTGGGTGAGGGTTGTCAAACTGTGGTGCGTTGTCATTGACATCCACCAGCTTGACAACCACCCACGACAACGCTGTGTGGCTGGAACCTGGAGGCGAGTGGTCGTCCTGGTGAAAAAAAGGAACGTTATTATCCATTTGAAAAAATCCATTATCTATAAGAAGTTATTGGCAGTGGCTTATAGTTTTGGTTTTGTTTTACAGCATTTTTAAAATTGAAATACATTTGCAGAGTTGTTATCTGTTTGGAACTGTAACTTGTGGTCCTGGGACAAGAAATAAAATTATAAATAAATATCAAAACCGGCTTTAGCCATAATAACTCAAAATATAATAAATAGTATAAACACTAAAACGTGTAATACATAGGTGATATAAAAAGTTGTTTTATATTTACTTTATAATTTGTTGGCTCACACACACAAGTAAATAAGTTATATGAGGATAAAGAAGTTATAGGATAAAATGTTTTATACGATTCAAATCCTGAATATGAAGTAGTATGCTGCAAATAAAAAGTGGCTAACCCGTTTAATACAAACAAAACATTAGACATTGACAAAGTTCTAAACATGGTAACTATAATTATGCTTCAAACATGAAGTGAGATTTTTAATATCATGATTCTAACCGAATAATTAAAACTCCAGGCATTCAATTGGCATACACGTTGTTAACAGGCCGCAAGAAGTTTTGGGTCTACAGGAAGGTAAATACTTCACTGCGAGTTCAAGAGTTTATACTAAAGTTTTGAATTCCAACGCTTGCTGTCTATGTTTAGTAGATAAGCACTTCAAACTTCCCTTGAACTCCCAAATGGTAAATCATCATTATAGCATGGAAGCTAAATGGAAGGCTGGGATTTGATTTATACAAATTTTGATTGCCATTCTTTTTGCCTTGAGACTGCAACAAATACATGAAAGTTTTGCTTAGAATAGGTTTAAGTCCTTAAAGGCGTCCTTATTTTCCCAATTTTTCCTAAAATCATGCTTTGGGAATACAAACTAAATTGCTATACCACTATTTAAAATTTACATAATTTACGAGAAAGCTTTGGTTTTTAATTCAATCAAAGATTACCTCGTCCACTACTTGTATCTGGAACCTGAAGCCATTCCGCTGGAGAGGGTCCTCATAGTCCAGGGGCTGCACCACTACAAGAGATCCTGTACCGTCTACGTTCCCTATCATGGAGAACTTTTCCGCGCCGTACCCGCTCTTCTCCACCACCTGTGAGTACAACATAGTACAAAGTATTTCCAGAACTTCCTAGTCCAAGGGTGCCACAAACTTCTCAGCACCATACCCGCTCTTCTTCACCATCTGTGAGTACAACATTGTACAAAGTATTTCCAGAACTTCCTAGTCCAAGGGTGCCACAAGCTTCTCAGCGCCATACCCGCTCTTCTTCACCATCTGTGAGTACAACATTGTACAAAGTATTTCCAGAACTTCTTAATCCAAGGGTGCCATGAATTTTTTAGCGCCGTACCCACTCTTCTCCACCACCTGTGAGTACAACATAGTACAAAGTATTTCCAGAACTTCTTAGTCCAAGGGCACCACAAACTTCTCCGTGCCGTACCTGTTCTTCTCCGCCACCTGTACAACATAGTACAAAGTATTTCCAGAACTTTTTTAGTCGATAGTTGCCACTTCCTCTTCCTTGGCAAGTTTTATTGGCTCCGGACACTACTGTAAAGCTATACACTCATCAGAAGCACTAGTTTTACCTTGTATACAAAGCGGTTGTTTTCGTCACCGTCGCGCACGGCCACTGTTAACACTGGTGTGACGTTGTCTGGCTTGACGTCACCTACTGTCTCCTCTACCTCTGTCACCCACTCATCCTTGGTGAACACAGGCACTGAGTCGTTGATATCCAGTACTCTGATAGTAACGGTACCTGTTCCTGTAACATTTTGACTAGCTCAACGCTTATAACAACTTGACTACTGATTTTCGTTCCAAAGATATCCGAACAAAGAAAATAAGATTTAGATACAAATAGTGTATATAACACTCCAAAATGGTGGCACAATAAGGGCTACGTAATAAATATTTCCTGTTAGATTTTTGTACATCAGTGTTTTTAAAATGGTTTGTAAAAGAGCTAAAATTATTTTAAAGTGATAGCGATCCGAAAGACCTAAATGTTTGTAGACATGCCAGGGACCCTACTCTCTGCCCTATCATTGGAGTTTGAAACACTACTCTGCTATTGCCTTTTAAAGGTTTTATATAGTTAAGTTTTAGTGTTATATAGTCAATAGTTTTATCCACAATTTATTCAGAGAAGAGTGTATATGCTATAACTTTCAATTAGTAATTACATGTAAATGAAGCAGTGTATTACTATCTTGAACACGTATGATTGGTATATTACTCCTTTCAAATGGAAGTTTAATAACAATATATCAATTAGGACATGTGTTTTACAGACTCACTTTATGACTGGGGGACTTAATATTTAATATTTTAATTTTCCCTTATGCGGAGTAATGAAGGAATCTTGAAAGGCCCAAAGTTTCGTCAATATTTAACGCTCAATTAGTTTGATAATCCGGAGGCAAAAGCCAAGTGGTTCGTATTTCAGTCAAGTTAAGCTGATTTGGCTCAGCTTTCTGTTCAGGAATTAGAAGATAAAACGTGCAGCTTTTTACGAGGTTATACATAATTAAGTTGAAGCAAATGTTCAACTATTTACGAGAAAATGAAGAACAGTGTAAGATTTGACTAAATCATAAGTATACCATTAATTATATGTATTAAAGGGTGCAAATTAGGGATTTAAAATAAATATCTTTAGTCTATTAACTATTTATACATATTTTACACGAAAAGACGAAACTTAAAGCCTGTAACTGAATGCCTTAGTTACAAACCTTTCAAACCAGCCCCATCGGTTGCTATTACTTGTATTGAATAGTCAGACGTTTTCTCTCTATCGAGGCAGCAGATAAGTGTCTTTATTTCGCCAGTGTTCGGTTGGATTTCAAAGATTGGCAGCCCGGTTCCTTCTTCAATAGCGTTCTTTTCAATAGAATATTTTATCTTTGCATTACCATTTTCGAATGGATCGTCGCTGTCTTCTGCATCGATTTTGATGACCAATACTCCTAAAGATATAAATAAGATAAATATATATATATTTGTACAAAAATGTAAGATTTATTTACTTCAAATTGTATACTATCTTGCTTGGTAGAACCACAAACATATTAAAACTTGTACCAATTGTGTCAATATAGCTGCAGACCATTAAGAATACACGTATTTACATTTGCAAACGAAGTTAAATGTCAAGTATATATATAATTTTTTTTAAATACACACAGGTTGGAAACTTCGTTCTTTGAAACATTATTTCAAAGTAAATATCTTCATATATCATCCCAGAGAATCGTTACGTAACTTAGTAAGTTTTGATCCATTGGATATTAAATGCCTCACAATACATTCCTTTTTTAGGTAGACAGCGATTAATTAGATATTCATCTGTGAGTAAAAATTATTTGATTGTTATAACACAATATTTTATCATCAATCAAAATAATCGCAAAGATATTTACCCTTAGGACTGTTCTCCGTGACGTTTCCAATGTACTCGGACTGTGAGAAATGAGGAGCATTGTCGTTGATATCCTGAAGATTGACCTGGACATCGGCGAACCCAACGAGTCCTTTGCCTTCTTCGTCCTGAGCAAACACCGTGAACCTCCACTGGGGCCGGCCTAGAGGAGGATCACGGTCTAGTGGCTAAAGAAAAACATACAAATAAAAAGTATTCATGTAATTTCTACTTGGAATTGCCATAAGATACGCAATACCACAACAATACTTAGGATGCAACGCATGACATTGACAACTGATTCAAGCTGATTTCTTAGCTATACAGGGTGTTGAAAATGTCTGGAACCAACATTATATCTGGTGAGTGGTTAAAGAAAAACAACTGATATTTTGTGTATGGATATATTATGGTTTTACCTATCTTTTGGTGCCTTATGAAATTTTTTACCACTTATAGGGAACGTCCTGTGGAGGATGCAGTAAAAAGTTTTAATGGAAGCCTATGGTAAATGATACATCATTTTAAAGGCCATTTTTTTTCTGAGTAAGGAGCTGCAAGTCTCATCTCAATAGGACCACCCTAGCAAAAATGGCGACTGTTTGAAATTTAAAAACCCACTTATAGGGAACGTCCTGTGGAGGATGCAGTAAAAATTTTTAATGGAAGCCTATGGTAAATGATACATCATTTTAAAGGCCATTTTTTTCTGAGTAAGGAGCCACAAGTTTCATCTCAAAAGGACCACCCTAGCGAAAATGGCGACTGTTTGAAGTTTTTAAAAATAATTGAAAGCTTAATTGGTATTTCTGTTAAAAATAAGTATAGTAAAACAACACAAACAATTTAGTTAAATGTTTTTTTTCAGTCATTTTTCAGTTCACCACGTGATAAACTACTGTACTTCGTAACTGGTTTGTAATAGCATTTAAAGGAAACAAATACGGACCATTTAAATAGCAATGTTTTTAAATTTCAAACAGTCGCCATTTCTGCTAGGGTGGTCCTTTTGAGATGAAACTTGTGGCTCCTTACTCAGAAAAAATGGCCTTTAAAATGATGTATCATTTACCATAGGCTTCCATTAAAACGTTTTCCTGCATCCTCCACAGGACGTTCCCTATAAGTGGTAAAAAATTTCACAAGGCACCAAAAGATAGGTAAAACCATAATATATCCGTACAAAAAATATCAGTTGTTTTTCTTTAACCACTCACCAGATATAGTGTTGGTTCCAGACATTTTCAACACCCTATTGCTAGCCTATGAGTACAGTGTTTTATTATTTTAATAAATGTTTTCTTTCTCTCCAGCAATGTTCTGTACAAAGCTTTCTAATTAATAGTTTATTAACAACTAAACATGTTCAGTATATAGAAATAATAACGTACCTACCTTTAAGACGAATATCTCCCCACTCCCCTTATCAATAGCAAAGTTGCCGGTTGCAGGGTCGTCAGAGTCTATACCTTGGCCTGCCAGGAAATAGACAATATTGGTCGGTTGAAAGGTGTCACCATCCACCGCCTCTACCTGACATCAGTTATACATTAGACGCTTAAACCAACTTAAACATACTCATTCAACTGTCTGAACTATTATTGCCTGTTAAGTGTGGCCAATTTTATATATTTTGACAATACAAAAGAAAATCTGGCCTTCTCTTAACTAACTTTTACAATTGATAATCTTTGTTATCGTTTTTTTTTCTCTTCGCCCAATCGTGTTACCTATTTCAAAAGCCCACTAAAGAATAACTAAAATGACGTGCATTTTTATCCTCCAAACACTTTTCTGGAAATTTTATTTTCTTTCGGGATATACGACACTTATTGTTTTTTATGGATATTTATTTTTATTCTAATACAAGCGTTTCTTTGTTGCAAAAAGCGGTTTTCTGTATTTTATACACATAAATATGCAACGTACTCTATATTTTGAACAGTTATGGAGAATTTAAAATGCATGTCATGATTTTTTTTCTTAACTAATGATCATCATAATATGAAAATAACAAATAATTACATTACTGCTCAAGTAAACCACCAGGTTGAAAAAATCCCTCAATTATTTTTTTTGTGTTTACTTAAGTAGGCTAAATACAATGTAATAATTACTGGAAACTACATGTTACTTCATGCGAATTTCCTTATATTCCCTATTTACATTTTTATATATTTTCTATCAGTGCACACCATGAATATCTTTCAATCATTTGATATTCGAATTCCTAGTTACTAATCGTGTTGGAACTCTGAAAGTAAATTCCTTCTCGAGAATTGAGCATGCCTTTTGAGATATCGAGACATATATTACAGAATGTAAAGTCAAACCACGTACGACATCGGATACGCTGACATGACTGAGACTCGAGTATACGAAGTAAATCATACACACATTGTTGTATTTAGGTTCTACACGTGTCCTGAATAAATCTGCTACATGGAAACTGAATATGTATTTTGACAATATAAATAACAATAATGAATATTAAAGAATTGAACATAGGTTTATAAAATAGTTATGCACTAATTTAAGGAATTATCATACCATTTATTTGCGATTAATTAAGGAAATGGTTTCATGTGTTATAGAATCACCTCGATCAATCATGTTATTATAGCTTGTTATATTTTATCATCGTGATTATTCAATTTGGTTAGGCTTTTTGAAGTTTTTCTATAAGTTGTTCATTGGAATGAAGTATTTACCAACAAAATATGTTAAATTTATACATTTACGATTGTAACGACTTGTAAGCCTACCTGTAGTATTTTTCTTGGAAGGTTTCTCCCATCCTCTTCGGTGATATCCGCAGTATAAACGGATTTTTCGAAGACCGGAGGATTGTCGTTGACGTCCTTCACATAAATTATGACAGTTGTAAAACTCGTCGTCTGCTTTGCTGTTGCAGAATATATTAATTCGTACTGAAAATGCAAGAAAGATTTTTGGCACCACAAACCTTTAAGGAATGAAATTGTTAAATAAGATAAGTTCTTAAGCATTCATCACATTACATCCATATGTAGGTTTTTTCCTTGTCATATGGAAGGTAATGAAGAACAGTTCATTTTATGTTTTAATAACTTTCTTTAAAATAAATAGCTCCTTATACGTGCATTTTCCTTGCCGAATACTGGAAAAATATGGCAGTAGATATTTAATGTATTTTAAAAAGAGGGGTGTCGATAATAAAACGACTATTACATTTGTTTTTTTTTACTTTTACTACTTACCTTTTGCCTTGTTTCGTAGTCAAGAGCTTCTTCAACATATATATTGCCATTGTTTGATTCCACCCCAAACACAGATCCAATGTTCCCACTTGAAATCTCGTACTTGATGTCAGGAACTAGAATTGTAGATTTTTGGTTATCCCAGGTTCATCGGTCAACTTTAATTATATTAAGTTTTTTGCGGTCTTGAGCAAGAAGATATTTTAACACCTTACACACACTATTTATCAGCTTGTATGGCAACTTGAAAAATCTTCTTAAGCTATCTCCTCATAGCTTACATTATTGTCTACATATTTACAACTATTTGCATACATGACAGTTAAGACTCCCAAAGATGCTACATTAAGCTGGCTAAAACTGCAAGGGTAAAACAAAAACTTTTGCTCAAGAACAAACATATCAAAATTGTAATCTATAGGTTTTTAGCGAATTTCCCATATAGGGAATAAGCTATTATTGTAGGTCTCATGGTAAGACCTAGACCCGGGACCAATTTACTTTTTCGTTTTGAGGTCCCCAGAGGCCAAAAACACCATCCGTTCAAATTCATATATATATATACATACATATATATATGTATATATACATACATATATATATGTATGTATATGTATATATATGTATATACATACATATATATGTATGTATATGTACATGTATATATGTATATATATACATATATGTATATATATATACATACATATATATATATATTTATATATGTGTCCGTTAGCTCGATAACTCGAGCAAAATTGATCCGATTTTGATGAAATTTGGTACATACGTGTAAACCTACATTTATTCGAACGAGTTCGCGAACCAGCATAATCGGACCATGGGATCAGGGGTTTATGGGGTAAAAATGGGGTTTTCTCATTTTTGACCCTAAAAACTTTAAATTTCTTAATTTCTCTCTAGACCATTTTGAAGAGCTTAAAAAAACAAATAATTTAGTATATTGAAGTTTTTTTGAATGTTCATTGACTACGGAGAAAATTAAAAAAATTGTAAATTTAAAATTCCCATGTTATTCTTATGGAGAATAAATAAACTGTTCTAGTTTGCTTGTTTATGGATATATTTTAATCAAATTTGGCAATTTGTCTTATGTCATACTAACCTATCAATATTTCAATTGAAAAAACACCTCAACATCTTCCCCGTAGCAGCAAACCTAACTACTCACTAAAATTAATGTTATTTAAATAGGAAATAAATCTGAAAATTTATAGGGAATATTTTAGTAGAAATCAAGCCGGGTAAATGGAAATTCGCTTAGTATGCAGGTTTGCTGCGACAGGGGTATTTATGCGAGTTGTAGTGTTTTTTTTTATGATTTAGAGCCTTAAACAAGTAAATAACATTAAAGTGACCATTTTGTATTATTGGAACAGTTTATACATAGACTTGTTTTAATAAATCTGGTTAAACTGTTCAAGGTTAAAGGTATAAAGTCTTCTATTAACAATCATAGGTAATTCAAATCCGCAGAAGAAAAAAATAGTGTACTCCTGAAATCAATGGCAAAAGCTAATTCAGTAATAGAAGTAAAATTACCAAGATTAACACTTAGTTTTTTCAGATAAATCATTTTACAATTAATTTAATAAATCTAAAACAGTTATAGCTTAGAGACAGTCAAATCCGTATAATGAATCCAAAGGAAATATTTTATCAGAAAATTAGGAACAATAAGAACTCGAGCTCCTACTGGCGGATTGCCAGAATAATTAGATTTACTTGAGAAATGAGAGTTGATTATAAATCTGCTCCGGTGCTTAGGGAGAAATTAATCTGGGACCCAGATCTTGCCTTTTATCGGTGAGTCGTATAAACCAAAGCGTTCTAAACTGTTTGTTTGGTTCACATGACGAATGACACACTTTTTTCAATTATCAAGGTAAAGTCCAGTTCTAGTAAAGAGAAACTAAACATTGAATTCACCAGCACATTATACTTGAGGTTACCCATAGCATATTATCGTTTTGTCAATTTGTTATAAATTAACATTGAAGATTCTTTTTGTTATAATAAACAATATTGAAACTTTTGTATGGGAGGTAAGTAAAAACTTGCTTAATGTGATTTTAAAATCTATAATCAAACTAACATTAGTACGAAATAAAATCGACAACACAAAAAGAATACAGTAACTATTTTCCATGGAAATATTTTACAAAACAATATAGATTTCATTTGTTGTACAAAGGTTGCAATTTAAGCAAACTTTTATAATCCTGTATTTAAAAACGTGTGCGTAAGTTTTAGACAAAACTTAAACGTAAAAAAATACCGCCTATACCTTGAACTGCATTCTATGCGCAATTGAAACGTTTTGTTGGAAATGCAACATTAGTTATTGATAACCATCATTAGTTACCTAGTACTTTTTCCTTCTGAAGCTTTGATTTGTCCACGTTATATAAATAAACACAGCATTTAAATAAAAATGAATAAAGTAACTAACGGAATGCATGCACGAATATACGAATATAACAAGGCAATGTAAAGTGAATGTTTCTGATTAGCGTACAAAGAAATGTTCATCATTGGAATTGCAGTGAAGTGGAAAAACTCTTTATGTTTCAAAAAGCAACCCTTACTGTAAGGAAACAATAACAGGCCGTACGTCTGGGTCCATTTATTACTCGGATTCTTTAATTATCGTCCATCAGTTATTTTCTCTCTTTTTTTCTCCGCAACTTAAAATTTAAATGCAAGGAAGAAAATACCTTTCAAAATTAACGGCTTCGGCACTGATGGAAAGTAGCCTAGTCATTCTTATTTAATATTGTTTGTTGATTCTTTAAAATGGTTTATTTGTTAACCATAGCTTATTAATTTCAATTCGACAATGTCTAGAATTGTTATAATGGTTATTTGGTTTAATCACGAATTTTAAATGGCAGAGAGAAAACCTCTCATGGATAGCTAGGAATATACATTTGGTTGAACTCAAACTTTTAATTTAGGATAAAATCGTTATTATTCTGCGTTAATTTTATTATTTGGACCGTGTTACGAATAATGCCACTAATTCTCTAACTGATTTTTTTTTACTTTGGATTACCAAATAACGTAAAATTAGACTACATAAGTAGGTAGGCTTAGTAGTAATAATAGATTGAACTTTTAAGCCAACCAATTTTAAGTTTATCTATGTCTTAATGAAGTCTGACTAAAATATGCTTAGCAACTTAAATCTTTGTTCTTACATAATGTAATATTATACAGGGTGTCCCGGAACTCTCTACCAATATTTTAGGGCATTGCTCCTGGGTAAGAAACATACCTAAATATCATATTAAAACTGTCCGGAAGTCCTTAGTTACTCACACAGCCGCCATTTTGTTTTTTTCAGTTATTATTTCTTTTTCTAAAGAATGGTTAAACATACGAAATGGAAACTTGGCACAAACATTAAAATTTATAACAACTAGACAAAGCTACGAAAAAAGTATGACGATTTTTCAAATTCATAAAACAAAATGGCGGCCGTTTAAAATTGTGTTTCTTAAATTAATTAAGTAACTAAGGACTTCCGGACAATTTAAATATGATATTTAGATATGTTTCTTACCCAGGAACAATGCCCTAAAATATTGGTAGAGTTCCGGGACACCTTGTATATGTATGCTATTTATTACAAGATACATTCTTATCATAATAAAACAAGGAGCTTACAATTGAAAACATTTGATGTATCCAAACGAATAATAAAGCCAAATCAAGCCTATACTCACAAGTATCATGGCTCTCTACTGTGATTCTGATCACTGTGTAGTGAGGTTTGACGTTCTCTTCTACCTCAACCTCATACACAGCCTGCTGGAAATACAGGGAGTTCTCATCCTTATTGGAGTTTTTCATGTACTTGCTCACTGAAAAGAAAAGAAAAATATTCATAAATTGTACATTTTACCTTATTTCAGTTGAATAAATCCAACCTCTAGCATCAAATAATCATCGTTCATAAAAATCACACAATGCCTTTTAAATTATAACACAGTATACATATTTTTTTGTACTAATTAAAATAAAGAAGCTTTTACATATTTTTACTGTTAAAGATTATACGTATATAAAAAGTAATGTGTGTATTTTAATGGCTGAAATCCAAGGTGAGGTCTGGTCTATGGCCCTGTACAGAAAGTCAAAATTATTAGTTTAAATTTAAATAACATTACCAATGATTCATCTAAGTGTTTAATGTGAATAAAAAATCCATCCTTTGCTGCAAATCCCAATATGTATTTCTATAAAAAATTATATGTGAGTTTGAGTAACACACCTGTAAGTAGGTACTTTTTGAATTTAATTTGATTACATTTTACTGAACAGTATTAAGTTTTATTGTATACAATATAGGCGTTGCACAGTTTATTTTTATTACGTGACATGCAAGACTGTTGAGTTTACTTATAAAGAATGAATAACATAATATTTTATATGGAAGTTGTAACTATGAAGAATTGTTTTTTTTAAACACATTACATCTAAATACCTTGCAATTGGCCATTATTGGTCAAATCAAACCTTATTACTGTTTTTTCTGATTTAAAATTACTACAAACTTAGTCTTAAAACGAACTATCAATTATAAACAGACTAAGAATTCAACATATTAGCTTTATGGTGATGTTAGAGTTAAATAATTGTAAAACAGACTAGACTGGAATTGGAGTTGAACCAGCATGCAACAGGAATATATTGTCCCTGTAGACTTAGAGGGCGACACCGTCCAGACACGACAATGAAGAGATATGCTCGGTTCGATGAGCAACGGAAAATGGAAAAGATTACGTTTTGTATATTACACATTCTGTAGTGAATTCGCATTAATTATCATATCTTCAATATAATCCATTACGATGAAATTTTCCGTAATATTGACACTCTATTGTATTTTATTTCAAATATGGTATTTTCATTAACCTTACGAATAAATAGGTTGTAAAAATACGTTTAAATTTGTTTTTATATAGAGCGCCCTGTAAGTAAACCGGAGATAGTTTTGTGGGCGAAATTAAACTAAAATCATTAATGACTTTATTTAACCTTGTAGGCAAGATATCCAGTATTTAGTTATGTACTTATTTATAATTTTAATGTTATATGTAAAACTGATATCTATGAAATTTGCTATTTAATTTCATGTATCAAAAAACTATTTTGGTAAAAATAAAAACAAGGTTACAAAATATGGAATCGCAAGTAACTAACAAATCTTGATTTTAATTTCTAAAATGAATAAGGCTCAAAGTTGAGGCTCGAGCCTTGGTGTCGTTTGAAAGGAAATTTTATACTAAATGAAGTGGTCTCTGCTTCTTTTACTAGCTATCTTTTTTGAAAGTTTAAAAATTTTAATGACCACCATTTAAAATCAAAAATATGTTTAGGTAATCAATGTTTGCAATTACTGTATTAATACTTTAAATCGTATACAAAATTCGATAAGTTGTGTCTTTGATGGTTTTAGGGATACAAATAAAAAAAAACTATGAGACGGATATCTGACTGACAAGGCACTTTAAAAATGTATTATTGATTTTTGTTTAAGAGTGAGCATATTTCTTTTGCTCGGGCTTTGCTATTTACCTACGCAACAATGTCCATAGTAATCTGTTTTTTCCATTTTGTTACAAAAATAAACCCCAACCAAAAGGTATTTCAGGCGAAAATATACCTATTTCTTAATATTTCCCAAATAGTCTTAACTGTGAACTTTTAAAACTGTCAATTTAACCATTAAGTTTTATACTTCCGTCAATTATCGATTTTTTTCACCAGACCTAAATAAGCGAGTTTATTTTTTAAGTTGGACAACGTTATGCTTTTGGATAACATTATCTTATCCAGCCTTATAACAGCCTTTTGTAACCAAGAGAACATTTAATTCAAAATTAAAAGTCTTCTAAGGTAATAGGACCAAGTAATGAAAGGCAATCTTCAAATCTTCAAAGGTAATCTTCCAGACAGTTTTTTGTAGCAAGGGTTGATTTAAGTTAATTGGAATTTTATAAACCGTATATATAAAATAATCTTCTAGGTAACCAGCTCTTTTAGCCTTAGTTATAATTATGGATTTAACATAAATGCAAATTACAGTTTCATGAAACTCTAGTGCCTCATTATATTTTCACGAAAGACTTGTTATGAAAAGCGATGAGTTAATATAGCAACGAGTTTACACTTTCAAAATCATGTAATGAAGAAATAACTTGCTTAGCATAACATTTTGTCTAATACTTTTGTGCTGGATATATTTCCAATAACAAAATATCTGCTAGCAGTGTTTCAACTGCATAATGTATCTTTAAATGATTTCAAAGATTATAAAACATTACCAAGCATACAACAAAGCGTATCAAAAATAATATTAGTCTTCTTTACGATGCCTATGAATAAATAATTGAAAATGTTCAATCCATACAAACAAGTTTACAATATAAATTATGTAGGCCTATAACTTTTACTTATATTATTTCATTATAATTGTCTAACTTATATAACTATTATTATTATATTATTAAATACTGTAGTTCGTTCAATTTTACTTGGTTTACGACTTTCATCTTTATCTTTTACGTTGTTTTAAAATAAAACCCATTTTAAATAGGGTGGGTGTTAATTTCATAACCTAAATATAATATGAGTAAAGGTATACTTTTAACTTGGTTCTGAAAGTCGGTACGTTTTATATACTAGTATTATATAGATTATCTGCTCACTAAGTTGTTTTTGGCATCCAAGGGTTTCTCAAATTGAAAAAGTAAATCGGTCCTTGGTCCAGGTCTTACTATGAGACCAACAGTAATAGCTAATTTTCTATATAAGAAATTCACTAAGACAAAAATATGAAATAAATTAGCTAAAGTAAAAAAATCGTGTCATCAATTGAAATTGAAGATATCGAGACAGTAATTTTAGTACGCTAATCACTACATTACGAGCACTGTCTTGACACGAGAATTCAGTACAATTTTTGATTTACTTTAATCAATCAACAAGAAATTCTTGGCATGCTAGTTGAGTTTGCAAACAATAAAGAAGAAAATGTCCATTAAGCAGTGATACTGACCATTTAAAAGGTATTTAGTTGATAAGTAACATGACAAATATAGGGAACCTGAGACCCGGTAACTCACGACTACAAAGTGTTTAATTAAAAACCATCAACAATGAAATTGAGCTTGTTAATTTGCTACACATTACTAGCAATAGTGAAACAACAAATACATTTGTCCGGGTTAAAGCAAACTATGTATAGTAAATGAAAAATACTGATAATATTATAAACACGGCAATTAAAAATAAAATATAAACACAAATATATTTAAATATAAAATTGATACATTATTTTATTTACTAAATAAGATGTTGATTAAAACTCATTCAAAAAGGTTATACATACTTTAGAATTGTCGTTTGAACTTGATTATTCGTTGTATTTTGACCATGTATTGCGACATGGTTGCGAAAATCAGATTTAAGATTATATAAACTAGCAAAGTATAAACTAGCCGAAAGTTAGAATTTTTTGTTAAAATCTGATAGTAACCAGGAAGGTATAACCAGAATCAAACGGCAGACCTTTGTTCAATCTGTTTAACATGTGACGAAATTATATAACATGAAGTTGGTTTTGTGAAACAATAATGTTGTAAATCCAAGTTTCATCTTTAATTTTGTTTAACATAAGGTTAGGTTGTTAGTGTTAGGTGATTGTTTGTGTGATTTGCAAAAGTTCAATTAAATCTGCAAAATTATCCTCACTCATTATTTACTAAAACAAGTTTGTGTTATAAGTTGTGTTTGTTTGAAGGGAAAACATGGATAGTATTGAAACACATTTTTACTTTTCACGATTCCCGAAAAAAAAAAATATAAATTATAAAACATATACTCAAAAGTTTTTTAAAAACCCAATATTTATTTCATAGAACAATACTATCTGTACACAATATGTAAACAGAACCAAATGGTTTGAATGCATTAGTAGTCTCAAGCAGCTAGGAAGAAGCCACGTTAATACGTCATCACGCTCCAAAGGACTGCAAGCAGGCGTAAAGGAGCTGTTCACCCAAAATGACCTTCTTTCACCTTCCCTCATCTAACTTTGTCTCAAATTATTTAACACGAGTCACCCTTTGACGCTATAATGACATTAACGAGGTTTGAATTACATAACAGTAGAATTATTTTCTCGGAACCGTCTGTGGAAAAAATTGTGTTCTAAAGTTTTGAAACGTAAGTACGCTTAAATTATCATTGATCAATTATTGTTTTCAAATTTGAATTTATTAGGTTATATTAAGTCATATTTTGTTCACGGAGCAAATACAATTAAAATTAATTTGGTTGTTGTAATTTTCAATCTCTAAAAGTAGTTACTTAATTTACCCCAAATATTAGGTTCTACACTAGGGAGTAATCTCTTTAAGTACTTAACAAGGGATCACTAATTGTATATTAAGAGTTTTGAATTAATTGATTTCAAAATACTGTTTAGTGTCTGTAGGCCTACTGCCTGTAAGGGAAATTATTGAAATTGTAATACATTTAATATCAATCCATTGAACGAAACTGTGTTCGGTAAACATTGTTTTGACAAGTTTTATTTTCAGGATGTTTTGGTTTGATACAGTACTTTAAATAAAGAGTTACTTTATTTTGTGTATACATTTTCATTATGTTTTACAAACAAAAACAAAATTATTGAACTCAATGCATTATTTAATGGCTTGAATGTAGTCTACTAGTTAATTCGGTACAACAAATCCTTTCGAGCCAACTGTAGTTTGTTCCTTAAACGTAACATTTGCTATTATGGCTTTTTTACAACTAAGAGGCAACTGAATAATATGTAAAGAGAATAATTTAGCAGGTGGGGAATACAAGGAGTTGGCATAACCACATAACTTTTATTCCCTAAGGTATTTAGCTTCAATTGCATTGCGGCTTTCTCTTAGAGATTTTCTTAACGCTGTCAACGCTTTACATCTAACTTAATACTGTATTAATATTGTTTAGAGCTTAGCATTTCTCAATAAGGTAAGATGCAAAGCTTTAATGTTTGTATTTAATAATTAATTAGTTAGAAATTATACTCAATATGGTCAGGTATCACTTAATATTTGTGCTCATTACTTAGGGCAAGTTTAGCTTTAGAATATGAAATAGAATTTACTACAAATAAGCATTGATCATATTAGAATCCTGTTTCACACCTGAAACATAACATATTTAAAACATAAGATTTACCGTTTCTAGTCCAAGATTTTCAATATACAGGGTGTTTTTTTTTTAACTTGCATCTTTATTTATGTAAAAACCACAATAGGTAGAAATATGCAGTTTGCGGGAATCATCTATTGACTTAGGGGGTGCATTTTTTTTAATTCAACGTTACATTCACATCCCCCCTTCCCCCCCTCTACCCCAACTTAATTTATTTTAATAGCAAGGTACCCCTCGTGACATATCAAATGAAAGAGCATGAAAAAAGAAAATGTTTGATGAAAAAAAAATTGAAAATCGGTTCATAAATTTGTGAGATTTTCCCCTACCCATAACTTTTTTGTTAATAGTACCATGCTATTAACAAAAAAGTTATGGGTAGGGGAAAATCTCACAAATTTATGAACCGATGTTCAATTTTTTTTCATCAAACATTTTCTTTTTTCATGCTCTTTCATTTGATATGTCACAAAGGGTACCTTGATATTAAAAACAAATTAACTTCGGGGGAGGGAGGGGTGGGAATATCTCACAAATTTATAAACCGATTTTCAATTTTTTTCTTCAAAAATTTTCTTTTTTCATGCTCTTTCATTTGATATGTCACAAGGAGTCCCTTGCTATTAAAAACAATTATGTTGGGGTCAGGAGGGGAAAGGGGGGGAATGTGAATGTAACGTTGATTTTTTTTTTTATTGGGCCCCCTACGTCAATAGATGATCCCCGCAAACTTTATATTTCTATCTATTGTGGTTTTTACATAAATAAAGATGCAAGTTTAAAAAAAAAAAAAAACACCCTGTATATTTAGTTTGGCGTGTAACAATGTGTACACTTTATTACAGTGAAGATGGTTAAATTTATTTTCTTAAGTCTATGGGTTTTAGAGAATCATTTGGAATCAATACCTCTAGATGGTAATTGATTAATAATATATCCACAACTAAGTTTGCCGAAAAAAAATATTTTCTAAATACAAATGTTTACATTTTTTTACTTACGCAATTAACTAAATTTGTTACAAATAAACTAATGTATTTTTGTTATTAGTAATCTCATCGTAAGGTCCAAGGCGCTCAATCCCTCAAAAAAATATTTTAGTTTTTATGGAGAAAATTGTATGTGCTTAGTTAAATAATATCTTATAGGAAAAAATCAAGATAACACTTATAACATGATAAAAAAAGTATACAATTTTTCATGACAATACTCACTCGAACAACCTTGTTATCTGATTTCAAAAACATTTGAGAGGACATAAAAATGTCAGACTCTATAACTTTTTAAAGTTAAGACTCTACAGTAATAAGGTCCTGTGATTTTGAAGTACGTTGTTTTCAAGTGACCCTAAAGGCAAAAAGTATTCTCAACAGTGAATAGCAACTCAATTTCAACTTGGCTTATTACGTAATAATCCTCCTTTGGCTTAGGAAAGCCCCGTCTTTTTGGTCGAACTCAAAATTAAAGCCTGGAAGATTCTAGTGTATTACAACTTAGCCGTCTTATTTTTCTCAAGACAGGTATTCTCCATCACAGTTAAGAGGTTTTTATTCTAATTATAGAAACTTTTGAAAGTGGACCCATGAAAACACAGAATTTTTAAGTCAAATTATAAACTACAACTTTGTTAAGATTATACTTCAAATCAAATCAAATCAAAATCCTTTATTACGTATAAAATATACAATATTTACAAAATGTAATATATGCAATAGAAATAGGTTTTCAAAAGTATAACTAAAAATAAACGAAATTAACCCCACATGGGATAACCCGTGCGTGGGAGTGAGTCGTATGATGTTTGATTAGAAAGAAATGAGAAGGTTTGATAAAAAAAAAAACAATAATCAGGTACTTCTAATAATTAAAGTGCAGGCAAGACTCCAAAGCTCCAAAGCGCCAGCGGAGTCATGACATAGTAGATTAGGCCCACTATGTACTTCAACAACCTATAGTGATTGAAATAGGGTTAATCTTTTGAAATCGCAATACTCTATATTATATGGACTTTATGTCTACACATAAAAAATTAGTATTTGTTTGAAGTATTTTTGAAAGTCTGACTAAAGAATATTAATAACGACCTACCTAATCCCACCTAGATACCTTGGTACCTAGATTGTACCTAGAGTCCAAACAAACAGCTCTACCACATTGTGGGTCTATGCTATTGCTGTTTCATGAACAATACACTGTTAGAATAGAGGATTTTTTATTTGATTTGAATAATGTTATATTTAGGATAAAATTGAAGACAAAATGCCCCTGACAATTCTAATCACTTGTATGGTGCGTGTATTACAAATTTGAGAAAATACAATTAACTGTACTATTAAAACTTGAATTTGCATTTCTTTCAGGCATTTTTTGATTTTTTGAACTTATATCATATTGGCTAGGTATTGTTGCTGATATAGTTAGTTGCATATATTTGTTTTTATCACGTTCCTGTTGATTGAAAAAAGTAGTAATAAAAATATTGATTAAAAACAGGTTTTGAATAAACAAACCTTATTAGCAGGCATATACATTTAAGTTTTAATACGTGCGTGTAATATTATAACGTACTGATGGTTAAGTTAGAGACTTAAACTACAATAGCAAATAGGTTACTGCAAATATGAGCTATAACTATTATATGCAAGCGATAACTCCCTTCCTTTCCTTCGCGTTCCGTATAATACGAATAGTTGCTGAATACAACTTGATATTCATAGTGGGAACTTCTTGATATTCTTAATATGAAATGCATATAGCATATTTACTTCACTGTAATTGTTTACAAAATGTTAAATCGAAAGTGTATTACATGTTTTATCTTAAGGTATTATCTCGTATTTCAACATAAAACATGATATCAAAGGTTGTAAATAAGAATGTAATTAAAATTAACCCAAGAAAAGTCCCTAAAATGTAGTTATGCCAATAAAATAAACGTATAAAAAGTCAGCCAAGATATAACACCACGACAACTGCAATTCAACCTTTCCTTTGAAAACCCGATTGAAATATATTCTTTAAACTAATTTTCAACGTATTTTTTACGATACGCTTCTATACAATTTGAAAGCGTTTACATACTGAAATGTTTCAGTATGTTTCAGTATGTGATGTTTCAGTTTTGTTGTATATAGCATAGTAAAAGATATAATATTGTATTGAATATGGTTTTTTAGAGCTATCAAACAGATTTACATAAAGGAATGGCATTTCTCATAAATTAGACCCGAACTTTTTGGCATTGAATTTGGTTTGAAAACGTTAAGAAGATTAGTGACACAGAACATTAATTCAATCATAAATTTTAATACCTTCCAATGTTGTTAAACAAATACTGTTTATTTCTAACATTATTTCACTGTCCCTCTAAAATGTATTTCATTTTATCAATCGTTGAAAAAATCGTTTAAATCGTTGAAACCATTTAACCCCACTTATGTTCGAATAACTCATTCTAAACCCATAATGAATAAACTTTAATGTTAACTCAATTGATTTTATATCTTATTTTATTTAAAGTATGTAATCATCTTATTTTTGGGGAATTTTATTATATTTTCTTTGTGAGAAAAGTAATTTTATATATAAAAAAAATTTTTTTGTAGCCTATAGTAAATTTTTACTTTACCTGTGGTCATATTTTATGCCGATTGTTCTTTACCAACATTAATATAAAACGAGAAATATAACTGATTTATAGTATACTAATTGTATTATATGACGTTTATGTTAAATATTACTTACCCAAATACGTACTATTTGTTAGCACCCACAAAACTTTTAAAGGATCCATGGCGTATATCTAATCAAACTAGTGTGTGCCTTAGTTTTAATTCATTTTACTTAGAAATACATCAATAGACAATCCAAGTAAAAATAAGACAAATATTTATGATAAAAATAACATTTAAACATTTCGAATTATAAAAAAAACTGAGCGTCCCCGAACAGTTGGCGAGTGACGGAGAGTTCCCGCGTAACTGACACAGAAATGGAGGGAACGGAGAGGGCAACCTCACACCCACAATACTGCCAACTTTATGGCGTGAGATAACCCTAACAATTTTGACAGTGTGTTAGTGCTTACTCAGGGGTTTCACACTTTTAAAAAGAGATTTAGATACACATACACACACCTACTAATTTAGATATTGAAGAGTTAATGTGGAAAAATTGCTAATTAAGTTCATTTTAAATTATATTTACGTCAATTTTTCATTGTATATTAAATTATAAGAGAAATAATGTTTGGTTACAAAAATATATATATTTTATTGATTTCACTAAACAGAGTTTCTTATTATTCTAATATTACAAATTTATTCTGCTTTAGTGCTTGTAAAGTTTTCTTTGATGTGGTACAAGTTGTAATTTACTGTTATAATCTTTAAACAGTTTATTTTATTTTTATATTTGACCAAGCTAAAACGATTTGGTAAAAACTTCAATGTTACCTTAGTCACTTAAAATTACGCAAAACAACAATATCAATTAATAAAATTTGTTGACAATACATGACAATACAATGACAATGACAATACACCGTGTTGTATTGAATAGCTTATGTGTTACGCAATTTTTATAGAACCACCATTCTGCTCTGTAAAATAACAAATAATAAACAGTATTGTAGTACTAATAAATTGCGTAACCAAATTGAGATAAGAACTGATAACTCGGTTGTTCGTCATCTAATTTTTAAAAAGAGGTCTCATTTCATTTGGATTTAAATTCTTTATCTTTCCAACACTAAATTTGTTTTTAATTAATACGGTTTTCATGAAACTAGGCATTATAGATTTTAAAAGATATATAAATAATTCTTATAAATCACAATGAGACCTACAAACTGAAATCTAATAATTTTAGAGTTATACTTATACTGAATTTTATGTTAGTCTAAGCCCAATGAACAAGTCCACAAAATATGTCCCAGCAATTTGGAAACTCCCTGTATATCTTAACGATCGTGGTGGACAATGATTCAAAAGGTTGAGCCTTCTTTTAGCAACTCGATTATTAATTAGACTCGAATCTACAGCGTTATTTTTAAATAAAATGTTATTTTAATGAAAAAACCAAGATGTTATAAATTTTTTATCCGTTATATTTTGATGAAAATGCCAATTATTATTAATGAAAGCTTACAAATAAAATAATTCTACTTCACTCAGGCATGTTTCACAGAAAAAAAAACTAAGATATTTGAATTTACTTATTAAGATGGCTATAATTAAAATACAATAAACATATAACAATTGTACATGTACATCCTTTTTCCCAGTCAAGTTATCAATCTGAAATTAAAATAATCGGAATGGCGTTTTAACGTATATGTAATTGGAAGTCGGATTCCTGAAATCACTCCAACCTAATTGGTTCCACCAGAATTAAAGTTAACTTTCAGTTTATTACTATCATTTTATCAGTCTTTCTAAAATTAAAATCAACCCTTCCAACGGAACCTTTGGATTAACTTGTTAACCCAAGAATCATATTTACACTGTCATATTTACAAACATTTAATTCTTCCAACGTATGTTTAAATTTTTATTTTTACTATTCCTTTTTTTTGGATAAATTTATTCGTTTTACACCATATATTTATATAACAGACTGGTTTAACTTATCTTCAAATTAAAAACATAGTATCCAATTTAAAATGTGTCTAGTTAAAGAAAGAAAGATTTTTATCACTCATCCCATTAGACTTACGCAATGCATATAGTTGATCTTACCAAAACTGATATATCTTATTCGATCGTATACTTATTTGATTAGTTCCACCAAATACTTCAATGTTATGTGTCGTCTCCTATTAATCTCTTAGATAAACTTTACATATGTGTTTAGCTCGTAATATAAACTTCTAGCAATATAAACTAGAAGTAAGCATCGAAGTTATACTAGAGACTTGTTATATATTGTATGTGCAGTTAATGAGATAACTTTCAATATCGATAGGTTGACGAATGTATACATCAAGTTTTACAAAGTTTGTCTCTAAGTGATGACTTAAGTTTGATTATGCTGTGTGAAGCAATGCATTAAAATGAGGTACTGTATGGATTTAAAAAAATAAAGGATATGATTGTCATAGAGAAATAGCTATATTTGTATCCACAAATATAACTATTTCTCTTTAACAATCATATCCTTTATTTTTTTAAATGTATACCTCATTTTAATGCACTGCTTCACACAGCATAATCAAACTTAAGTCATCCGCTTGGGATACTAGGGAAGAAATTATAATTGTATATGGATACCAAACATATTCTAAACTTTATCCATACAACAATTATTTTACTAAATAGCTGTTTTTATCACAGTACTACAATCTCTTTAAATTATTGTTTTGCAAAAAAGTATTACACACGATCTTCAAATTTAAAAAATTCTGAAAAGTTATAATAACAGTGTTTTTGAATGTTTATAGCAAGCAAGAAAATAACTGACTAGTTTATACACAACTGTTATTTTGCAAGGACCTGGATTCAGAGTTTTTGTAGAAACACATATTGTTATCATTTTCAAAATAAAACTAAATGTATTTTACTTCGAAGACATGTAATTAAACAATAAACTGTCTGAAGTAATTTTTATTTAAAATTGCTGACAAATAAAACTAAAAATTGTTATTTTATCAATAAATATGGCTGTGTTTTTGTGATACACACCTCTAAAAACATGGTGTAGAGTTAACGTTTAATAAGTCTGTTGTTATCTCTCACCTACACGAGGCAGTTTCCAGCAGAACATTCCATTAGGTGTGAATTTATCGTTGACTCTACCTTAGAAGCTATATGCTTCAAATAGTGTTATAAGTATCGTGTGGGATAAATCATTGCAGACAAGAGTCTGTAGGTAAAACGAAACTACGATTATAAGGCTTTGAGTAATTAGGGGAGGCTTTGCACCGTTTATAAATTTTACCTATACAAAGGAACGATATTTTTGTAACATCATCGATATTAAGTTTTTCATTTTTTTTCTCTTATAATTAGGATCTGTATTATAATCAACTTCTTTTTCATAGGATCTGCCTTTCCACATGTAAAATCAATTAAATACGCTTAATCCACAAAATAGATACACGCAAATCCAAACAACATACTTGGGAATTATATTTCACCGAATGAACTGTAAGGCCGCAATCGGGGAAAGAGATCTCAACCGGAAAAAAACATAACTGGTATATTATAACAACTACTGGTTGAACACTTGAACACAGATTATCAGTATTTTATTATTAATGGACATTAAAATATCAGGAGCTGACATAAATCTTAGAATATAATTTGTATTTAACTGTAGTCGTTTCTACGATGAACGAGTGAGTTTAATGATGAGACAGATTTAACCCATCGTTACTCTCAAGCTTGTACAAAGCAAAGCCCAAAGCTAAGCCAGTGACAAATCATTTTACTTATACATTTTAACTGAATACATTACAGTTTAAACCCATGTGACATGGCTGCCAATGACTGAGCCACCGTCTCCTAGAAGTGGTATCAAATTAAAATTCGAGCCCTTCACTGTGGGTGGTGTCCTCACACTCTAAAATAATAAGCTAAATGGTACATGGTATCTTCGTCAAGTGATCCTCCTCAGTCCATCATCAGGTAAAAAAACCCATAAATGAAGTCATCTAACCGATTTGGTTAGCTTCGTCGCTAACACTGAGAACGAGACAAAAACATGGGAAAACAAATAATACTGTAAATCCGGCCAGTGTACAAAGATTCTAGTTTGAAAAATCTGTTCTAAAGGATTGCAGGGCTGCCAAAGAAGCATTTGGGCTTAAACCAAATCAATCATTACCAATAAAAAACATGTACGTTATTTAATTTCTTAGTGTAACTGATCACAGTCACTTAAACGACAGTACATACACAGTATGTACACACCTGTAAAAAATATATGATACCTACTTACACCATAAATTACATTCTAAATGATGTATCTTAACATGTGCAGTTATTTCTTCATGTACAAAATATTAATTTTTTTCGTAGCTTAGGTCTTAGACAACTTCCCGTGCCCTTAGCACTAACTCAATATTAAATACCAGCCTTATACTGTATTGAAATAGCTTACTTTTATCGGGTCAGCTTTTGTATCCTATCAAACAAAAGCTGATTTGAAATTATGAAAACTACAAATTCATTACTCCAATTCGTTACATTTTCAAGTTTAAAACATACTAAAAAAAAAACATATCAGGCAAGCTAACGTATTTATAAGCATCATGGAAAAGATACTGTAGTTATATACGCATTATTTGATTAAAATATTTTATTCATTCTAAAATTTGTTAATTTTGTTTTCTCTTATGCTAAATTCTAAATGCACCCGTAAAATTAGCATACGGATTTAACTTTTATATTCCGGAATTGTTCACAAACAATCTCAATGAAGCGTTGCACATCTGTTAAAAGGAAGGAATATAGGGAAAAAATAAGTGAAGTTTCATTTAAGAATAATATAAAAAAATATTTTCTTTCTCAATACTACGTTTTTACAGACATAAGTAAAGGACACGTGAAAATCCCATCCAGTAAGGCAGATTACAAGTCTAGCATCAGCGAAAATACTGGTTTGGAGACTGAGCCAAATTACCGTCTGAGTCTTAGAGCTTCAAGCCATTAACATTAATGTTTACTTATCCACATGCATTCCGTAAATATTTTCTCACTACTTAGCCTAGTGTTTTCAAACTTATTAAATGTATTTCAGAAGCTAGTGTAAGAAATCCATAAATTCTAAATATGTAAATAATATAAAAGCTAAATATGTAAACATTTTACACTTCCTTTAGTTTTATACTTTAATAGTAACTA